AAATTAAGCTGAAATGCAGAGAGATTTCAATGGGTAATATTTCTAAGTTAACTTACATTCACTGGTGGACTTCACAAAACCCAAAACTACTTGCTTCCCATAGTTTTTGCAGTTTGCGCTCCTCTGGCTAAGGCACTTAAAAGTAGTGCAGGTTTAGATGTTTCATGATTTGTGGTTCCTTGCTAGATTTTCTCCAGAAACGCTCACTGGCTCCCACCACTCATATTCACCCTGCCCTCACCTGCAAAAATTCAATAGCCCTTCAAATACAACAGAGCAATTTATTTAATTTTTGTGCTTTTTGGGTTTCCCCACCCTAAAATGCACATTGCTTTACTGATCTGATTTTGAGCAGGGCCCTTCAAACAATTGCTTTTGCAAAAGTATGAAGTATTGGCAAGTTGTACTGGGGGTGGTAACAAGTCCCTGAATATGGGGAAAGAAGCAGGAGTCACCTGAAGAGATTTTTCTGCCACATAAATTGTAACATGGAGCCATGCCCCAGGATCCCTTGCTGGAACGGTTCCACTTTACCTCAGCAATTGATTATTCATGAAATCAGTAAAAGTGACTGTAGGCTGATGGTTTCAGTGCTTCTCTGAGAAATGGGACATCCCTGTTCTTTTCCCAGCCTTAAGGAACAGTAATTTATGAATAATACATCTGCTTAATACGTCTTCATTTTGTGAATGCTATTTAAGCTCCACAGCAAATATGGACCTTTATTTCCAATTTTTCTTTAAGTAGAAACAGTCAAAACAAATTATTATTTTGGATGCCTCAAACCTGTGTACATCTCATGCTCAGAGTGACTTTTTAAAACTTCAGCACCTGAGCCAAAAATACATGTTAATAAAGTTCTGCAATAAAGGGGGCTACTTGAGCATATATTCCCCAAAATATGCCATTTCAGCATTCACAAATGTGCTTGTTCTTCCTTTGCTTGGGAAAGGGTTATCTGACCCTTTCCTGCAGCCTGCTCAGTCAAGTCAACTATGCATAAATAAGAAGGAAACTTATGCAGGAAGAAAATGAAATTAGATGAATAATTAACATACACTTTATGCAAAAGCATGAAAAACTGTTCCAAAATTTCTCTGCTTAACTAACATGTGAATTCATATAAAAATATTCTACACTGAAACTTTGTCAGCAGGTCATAAAAAGCACATATCTACTTATTTAATAGGTCTAAGATTCATGTGATGTGTTTCATTTCTTAATGAATGATGTATTTTTTTCCTCTTAGTCATTTTAAGTGTGTTATTTCTGTAGGTTTGTGAACAAAGAGTAATGGGCAAAACCCAGAAGTTGAAAATGGGTGCAACTTCACAGCATCAGCAATCAGTATTTTGAAGAGGCTTCCTAAATTTAGGACAAAAACAAATAAAAGAGAATTATGAGCTTTTGTGTCATTATCTTGCTATAAGATTTCCTTAGTCTCATCAAAGGATGAAGTAAACAGAAAAAGAACTGATCTTTGAAGAAGATGTAGTCTGATTACAAAATTTTAATTTCACTGTTTCAGGCCATGACTACTGTAGCTGCCTGTGCTATATTTAAAACAGGAACAGAGTAATCTAATTTTTTTTTTTTTTTATGGAAACAGCTGGATTATAAGTATTTATTGCACAGTTGCATACTTAAGATTTCATTTGCTGGAGTTATGTGTGTGGCAGGGTAGGATTTACCTGGTAAAGCCCGTGAAGCTTATAATGGGAATCTAAAAATAATCTGAATACTGTTCTATTTTTTGGAAAGCAAACTGCGGAGTGGTCGGCACCCAAATACACGCTTAGCACTTTCAGGAACTTTAATGGGAGTTGCTCATACAAATGCCCAGAACGCTTGGATAATTATACATGTTCACATTACATGTATAAACACCTAAAATACAAAATGGCATAGTTTCCAAACCCCTGTAGTTCTATCTTTCAGATACTTTTCAGGCACATTTTGACATAGTAATTATTTATATGATGATAGATAGCCCCAGATCTATAATTTACTCATGGGGCTTAGGTAATTTCATGAAAGGCAAAAGTATAGTGCATTAGTCTGTATGCATAATGTAGAGCATATTTATATTTAATGCTAACATTATTTTTCTATGAGGAGAATATTTCTATGAGGTGCACTTCCCGTTCAGAATCTTGTTTATGTTGTACAGAGTTTCATTTTGAGATGAAAGAATGCTTGTTTCCCAAGAAAATGTTGGCCACTTTGAGGATCTTTCTTTATTTCCTTCCCTTCCATCTCTTCCTTCCTCTCCTTCCTTTCCTTTTTTCTTTTTAACAAATAAATTGTTCGGTGGTAATATAATGGTAATTGGTCATGTACAAGTTTTTTCGTGGACAAACTTGTCTAGCAATATTTATCACTATAAGCTGGCTTTGATACCAAGGTTAAGAGATTGCAGCAGAAAAATACAATACTACCTTTCTATTTTAATGAATACCTAAATTAATTTTAAAGTTAATTTCACCCTATAGCAGCAGTAGAATCTCATTAATCCACACTAATAGTTGGGAACCTTATATTTATGCTGGCTTTAGGTTACTTCATGTAGTCACATCAGGTATGTCAGAGGAGGAGTGAGTAGCTGTATATAGGAAGTCACCTGAGGATGAAAACGCAGAGGCATATTCATCTCAGTGTATTGTGAGGATTTTTATCTATAATGTTTATTAAAGCTCACAGAGGAGATACGTTGTAAATCTGGGTATTGAGCTAAGGTTGTACACTGCAATCAGCTTTTCAAAAAATGCCTCTGGATAAAGTGCTATGCTAACCCTTCTCTGGATTATACTCTGCATCAGGAAGTATATTATCCCTTAAAATACCTCCTTTCATTCTTTAATTTTACTGCTAGTATACTAGCAGGGGTTAGCTTTTAGTGGGAAAACACGTTCATGCTGCTCCTGGCCCAGCGTTGGGGAAGAGCATCTCCTGCAGGTCACACGCTGCGCTTGGGGACATTGCTACTCCTTAGTGCCCAAATGGGCGCTGCCTTTTTGCTGCAGGGAGGAGGTTTACCGCAACGTTGCTACAGGCACCACAGAAGGAGGAATTTGCTAGATGGCTCAAGCAGGCTGACAATCCTGCAGCAAGCTGTCACCTTCCATTTTCTCGAGCGAGCAGCCACCTCCTCCTTACTCCCCTCAGAAAACAGAGCCTCTGCAAGGCGTGGGGAAGGATGGCTGCGCGCTCCAAGCTCTTGCTTTGGGGAGGCAAGATTTCAGCCGTCTTGCTTTTCCCTGCGAGGCTGCTGGCGCACAGAACTTGGGGTCATTTTTAATCACCAAAATAGAGCCGATGTCCCCTCGGATGATCCTGCATACTCAGCGTAGTGCCACCGACAATAGCACCATGCCGGGAGGTTCATGGAGGTGGAGGAGGGTGCGGGCACAGCTGACTTTATAAGGTGTTTCTAGCTTTTTTGAGGCCGATACCTACTATTTGCCATCATGTCCACAGAAGTGCTGTGGCCAGCTTCCCCAAAGTCCTTTTAGCAGCCAGAAGAGACAGATGTGGGAGCTCAGAAAGCCAGCGATAAGTGACAAAGCCATGCCTGATGGGTTCAGTGACTGTTAAGAGCAGAACTGTATCTGTAACAGTGGCCATAGCACTCTGTGCTCCAGCCTACCTGAAAGTGTAGTTTCAGTATGCCTGACAGTTTACAAAAGGAGGGGAAAACATTATTCTTTTATTTCATCTATATAACGTTATATTTATGTACACTTGTGTGTATGTAGATATATGTATACATCTTACTGTTACACAATGATCCTGGTCAGCAGAATGTAATTATGGTATCATGGAATCACACCTCCTTGGCATTATCAGAGGCCCTTCTATTATCTTTACAGACTTGCCCTCTTTTCTGTGTAAATATTTTTCCTGCCTTTCCCTTTTGCAAAGCAAAGAAGTTGTTTGCAAACTATTTGTAGAATATAAACAGCACCTACAAGGGAAATGCCCTTGAAGCAGTGAGAGTAGACTGATTGCAACATACAGTACATGCTAATAGCATCTTCAGAGAATTACTATTACTTCGTAGCAGAGGCATTTTCATTAAAGTAGAAATCTTACCATGATCCTTAGATTGGATTTTTACCTTCTTTTGCGTATTTCAGGTGAGTCAACAGTCACAGGTTGCTGGTTCATTGCTCAAAAGCTCCAAAGAATTACTCACCCCTAAGTAGTGCCATTTCCCATGATTGCCTCTTTGCAAATTTCGTGAAGCACCAGGCAACAGAACAGGCAAATGACCGGCACAGAAAGCTTGAATCTGGCAGTATTCCTAGTGCTCTGCACAGAGTTAGTAAAATGAACCTGCTAATACATTGTTATATCTATTACAGCTTGCTCATGTTGGGTGTTAATCGAGTATTCATAGTAAATTCACAAACTGACGCTTGAGACTGAATGATGATCTTTCAGGTTGCCTGATACCTTTATCTGACCAAATTCATGCAGACTCAGCCATGTGCAGAGGAACTTGGCACGGCTGCACTTTATCCGCCTTTTTATTTCTGATGCAATAGGATAGGAATGAGAGGAAGAGAATATATAAGGGTTCCCCACTGAGAATCAGTTCTATAAATTATGTATTATGCAGACACTATTCTGCTGATGCTATCTGATCCCCAATTCTCCGTTCCTTGTTTTTCCTTCTATAAATAGCTGTGGCCAGGTTTTCAGTTGTAAAATGACGAGGACAAAACCAGAAACCTTTCCCATTTAATAACCTCTGCCAAAGAAGAATAAGGTAATGTTTTTCATAACTGTGATGTCCTCAGGGCTTTAACAATCTGGGAATACAAGCAGCACTATGTTGTTGATAAGATACTGGTAGTAAAAGTGGGAATAACCATGCTGAATATTAAAGAGGGAAATGCCCTATTTTCAGGATGATCGGTACAAAACTTGGTATTGTGAATTTTCCTGTCAATTTTTGTCTGTGTAGGACCACTTTTGCTTTTTGTTTCTCCCTCTAGATCCAAATGCTTTGGCTGGACAGACCGGACCTGACCATGCTCTTATAGGAGGAATAGTGGCTGTAGTTGTCTTTGTAACACTATGTTCTATAATTCTCCTTGGTCGATACCTGGCAAGACATAAAGGTAGGACAGATTTAGTGGAAGTTCAGTCACTTTTGGAAGCAAGGCATGATTTCACCTGGGAGTGGTGTTCCCTTTTGCCTTCCCCCATCTGCTAAATTATTTGGACAAGAAAGTTCAGTTCACAGTCCAGTCACAAGTGAAGTCTCTGTGAATTTTACACAGTTTTCCAGTGGACTGGCTGAGGCAAAGGACATCTAGTTACATGCCCAAGGTCATCTCATAAGTCAGTAATTTAGAGAGACTAAGAGGTGAGATTGCCCCTTTGGTTTTGGCTGTTAGCTGTAGACACTTGATTACATGATCTCATAGTTTTAACTAGTATATCAATTCAGCAGAATATATATAGAGAGAGTGAACAAGATTTTTCATTTTAATAAATTGTGCTAATACTTTAAGTATGTATTTAAAAGATAATATTAGAAGCCGGTGGTGAGTTTTCAGATCAGTGACTCTTTTACCAATGATCCCACTGGAATAAGGGGTTCATTCCTGGGCCAAGCTTTACTTTATTCAGAGATTTCACTTAAGAATTTTTCCCCTTAAGAATTCCCCCCCCCCCCACCTCAACCCCCCCCCCCCCGCCATTAGAGATGATAACAGGGATGGAGTGACACTCACTTCTGACTAAGCCTCTCTATGATCCTATTTTGACCTAGTTAATTCCAAAATCATTTCTTGAGATTTAACCTCCGAATGGCTTGTAGACCTATTGCTAAAGCTTGGTTGATTCCCTACCCTCCCCCCTGCCAAAAAAAAAAGAAAAGTGAAGAGAGGATTAGTGTTGGTATTAACTCATTAAATCTCATTTTAGTACCTATGGCTAGCAGACATAAGCTGATAAAGCCATCTTTTTAATTTGATTGGACTGTGCGGGGGAAAACAAGATTTTTTTTAACGAGGCACTGAAAGTGTGTCTCTTTTGTTTTACTTTCCTGAATGAACAGTTATACATCTTATGCCAACATAAATAATGGTTTTCACAAAAGGAAAGTTGACTATTGTACACAATTCTTTTTATTCATATCCTAAGCATAAAAATATCTGTGATAGTATAATGTGAGCGGGTTCAGTTAATAAAACTACCTCAATTTTGTAATTCTTGGAAATGACTATGATACAATTCTGTAAAATTGAAGTATAGATACTATCAAGAAAAAATAGAAATACAAAAATAATCAGTGGTGATTTTTTAAAAAAAATAAGAGTTTATGAATATTTAAGTCTTCAAAGTTTATTTGTTTTTTATGAGTAGCTGTTCCATGCGATAACCAAGATTTTATCACTTATTCTATAATTGCAAAATATATTACCTGTTACCACAGTTAGATAAAGTGGATTTTTATGAAAAGATTTCCTTAATTTATTGTGGCTATACTTGAATTTGTGTATATGCATTATCAGTATTAATACTATAAATATTTCTTAGACGAATTAGAAAGTTGAGCATACCTGTATAATGTATAGTAAAATTGTGTAAAAATATTTGTCCATTCATGAAGCAATTGGAGCATTGTTAGAAATGTACTCCTATCATGCAGCATAAAGCTAAAAAACCCCTAATATTTCTTTGTGTTTTTTTTTCTTTTCTGTTGTACTGATTCCTATAGGAACATATTTAACAAATGAAGCAAAAGGAGCTGAAGATGCACCTGATGCCGACACAGCCATTATCAATGCAGAAGGCAGCCAAGTCAATGCAGAGGAGAAAAAAGAGTATTTCATTTAGATGCAGAGCTAGAATCTTGGAGTTTTACTTATCAGGCTGACTGCTGGAGAAAACTGGCTATCATTTCTCAGAATTCATTTCTGCCATCTTCTGCTATCTTAATTAACTCGCATACCTGCTATAAGTAGCCAGTTTATGCCAACAATCAGCTGTTGACGTCATCATTCTAGAATTACAGTATCATGCGTAAAGCAGGACATTTCTTATTGCCTAAAATTCATATCCACTGCTCTCTTAACATACAGTGCTTGAATATACAGCCTTAACAATGTTAATCACCATCTTAATCCAAGTTTTCCACATTTTTAAATGTTGTGCAGCTTGCTTCTTTTTCAGTTTTCTTTTATCATGTCCCTACTAGTGTGTCATAGAACAATATTCATAACAAATACTATTAGGTAAGGACCTAATTTACTTACATAAAATGTTAAGTCTAAGATTAGAGGTTTACCAAGAATGTTTTATACATGTCTATCTATAATTCAAAAAGCAACTTGTTTTTGAGACATATGCCCTAGGAAACACAAACTGAAATCTTTTTAGTATAGTTTCTTGTATGCCTGGATTTGGTGGAAAAAAACCTATCAGTCCGCTGATTTTTTTGTTTTATTTTGCTTTGTTTTGTTATGTTTTAAATGGTACCTTGACAACAGTGCCATGTTTCAGTGGTGAAAACATGCTGAATAGCTATACAGATTCTGCAAAGTTAGATAATAGTGCTTCATTTGAAACAAATTTGTCCTGCCTTTTTACTGCTTTTTGGGATCGCAAACATTAGAGAACTTTCTGAGGAATTTCTGTTTTTATAATTTATTTGCTTCACATGAACTCACCTGCCTACTCAAATTTGAAGTGTTCATGGGGCACAACTGCAAGGCATTTTAGTATCTGTATATAGTGCATATAATAAATTCAATTAAACATTATTTGATACATATTTAACTTTTTTGGCAGTAGCTAAGTCAGTCACAAGTAAGCATTTTCTAATGTCCATTATATCCCTTTAGCTATGACTCAAATTAATATTCTGAGTAGATAACATGTATTAGTATTCTTTTGTCTGTATGTCCTAGCACTGTTCAGCAGCAAACTTTTCTAGTTCTTGTTAATTTTTTCTTTGTTATACAATGGAAGCACAATGTTATATGGAAAGGTAGTTTTAAGCTAACAACCAGTGCACAGCCTCAGGTTTTAAATTACAACCACATTTGATTACTATCCTTAAAAAATACTATTGAGTTGCTAAAATTCTCGATTTTTAATTTGGCAGTTCCAGAGCTGCTTCTCTAAGTTGGTTTGCCAAAAAAAAAGAAAAAAGAAAAAAAAAAGAAAAAAATAGAAGTGTTAAAACAAAAGATATATGTTTTGTGTATACAGTAAATGGACTAATTCTTTATATTAAATTCCTGTCTATGCATTTTGTGAGGTACAAACTTATGTCACCGTGAATGATAGAGAATTCCTGCCATGCTTTTAGCTCCACAGTGAAAGTCTCTGTTTGGATTATTTCTGAATTTTTTTGTGTAATTGACAGCTGAAAAATCACATGCTCTTAAATATGACAACAAAACACTGTAAGCCCATCGGCTTATTTCCTCTTCCAATGAAATAAAAAGGTTGCCATAACAGCTCTTGGAAATGATTCTACACTGGAGAACGCAAGTTGGTCTAGCCGGAGCTTGTCTTGCTCCTAAGTTTTGCACCTTTGACAAAAGAGTATTTCTCTCTGGTTGCTGTACTTGTGAGGCCTAAAAGCATGATGGTCTGCTGTAAAGGACTTTCTCCTGGGATTTTATTTTTGTGTGGGGAAGGGAGAGTTTGGAATATGACATCATGTGGTATGGTAAAATGGAAGATAAAGGTGCTGTGTCAGATTATTTATCAGAAGAGTATAAACCTTTTAAGGACAATATGAGAGTATTTTAATTGTTTTTGTTGAAACATTTATCTTGTTAATTTCTAAGAAAAAAGGGTGACGTCAATCAAAGCAGCACTTTTTTTCAAAATATACAGACATAAATAATATGATGTGGTTGAGTGTTAACATAATAAATCATATACAGTATGACATTTTAAAGAAATAAGTCTGCATTGATGTGATTGCATGCTTGTTTTTACAGTTCACTCCATACCCATCTGTGGAAAAATGCAATAATATGTTAATATAATATGGTAGTTTGAGAGAACCAGGTAGGTGCTACTAGACACATTGAAAACTAGTATAGGTTTACAAGATATTCATGTCTTTCAAAACATACACATGTAAAAGGCTGGCAAAGGAAGTCATTCAGTTTAATACCAAAAATATGGGTTCTTGTCACAACAGTAAGTTACGTTAGCTACAGTGCAGTATCACGTACGACAAGGTTTTATTTCAGGACCTGGGGCCCAGTTCAACTAAGCATTTAAGCACATGCTCAGCTTCAGGTGTCGGAGAAGTTCCATTGGACTGTAAGGCACTATTCATATGCTTAAAAATAAGTGCTTCCCTGGATGAGGGCCTTATTTGCCCAAGTGGAATTCCCCACCAGCGTGGTGTTTGCGCCTTTTTTCATTCTTCCTAACTCCAGCTTGTTTGAATAATAGGGTTGTTGCTTGAACCATTACCCAACCAAGGTCAGGTAGGACCTTCAAAAGCAGGATTGCCTTTGGGGTAACCATTTCAAACCATTTTCTCCAGTGGCATAGAAACAGCATTTAAACTTTGCAAAAAAAGATATAAATTGTATTGTTAAAATAGGTTATCTGTTTGGTTTTCAATTAAAAGTTCCCACATGTGCTCATTTTTAATGCGGTTGATCTTCCGTTATCTTGCACCTGGGGGCATCCCTTGCATCTGTGCAAAGCACGTGTGAAAAACCCCACACCGAGCATTCTACCTGGATAGCACTTTGCAGGCCTGTCTGGTCTTCATGGGTTTAAATTACTACACTAGCTGTAAAGAGGCATCCCTCTTCTTTGTAAGCAGAACCATGGCTCAACACTAATGACATTCAGTAGGCTAAAAGCCAGTCGTCTGTTCCCTTTGTCCAAGATCCCATTCTGAAATACCGCTTTTATTATTATGGTGTGAGGTATCCAGCGAATGTGTAAAATGGGGGCTCTGAATGGGAACCACCCTCGCTAAAATGTATGTGACATCCTCTCCCACACGCACTTGCAGAGTAGTTTTCTCAAGACCAGGTAGCTAGTTTCTGCCAGTGTACTGTTTACAGTGTCGATTGCTGATTATTTTTAAACTTTCTGATGTAGATTTTTTTTTTTTTAATGCTTCAAGAACATTCTCATGATCTGAACGAGAAAGCGGTGCATCAGAAGACAAGGGGTGCATCCTCCCGCTCTTTTAGTGTCATCTGACAAACCAAGAAACAGTTTAAGGAACCTGATGTTTAACTTGAGGCTCAGAATTTAAGCTAGAACACTTTAAAAAGTTTCCACATTACTTAAGGATGGTTCGTCTTGCACTGAGACTCCCTCTATAAAGGAATACATGAAGAAAACCAACTTTTCTAAATAAGACATGGAAGTTAACATCTTGTGTATTTTCATTACAGTATAATATATAAATAACAATTTCAATGAGAAGAAAGGACAGAATCATCTGTAATTATGTAATTCATGATTGTAACAGCACTGGTTACCATGTACGCACATGTACAGTAGCTATTTCAACAGTTACAGTGTAGTTACATGTAATTCCCTGTAACATAGCAGTTATAGTGTAATTTAGTGCCACTTATTGTAAAGTGTTACCAAAAGGAAAATGGAGTTCTTACCTTTACAATTCCATTCAAATTAAAGGTAAGTTTATTAAATTAGCACCATAAATCTGATATTGCATTTCTTAATTAAGGAGGTGATTTAAAACTTCATGTTCACACTGCAGCTTCCCCCACCGCTTACCCAGACTCCTCCAAGTGTCTGATCTCTACAGTCCTAGGAACTGGTAATCTGTGATGAACATACCAAAAATCCAGCTACTTCAACTTCAATTGAATAAGCTGTCTAATAGAGAAAAACAAACAACAACAACAAAAATAAGGAGTAATGCTTTTTATTAAGTGGCACAAAGTACACACTAAAAACTATGCAAAAATATAGGTAAATACAGTGTACTTACATGTAAGTATCTTGTACTTGCTGTGTATGGATATTGGAAAAACCGTGTAATTATAATATGCATTTTGATTATTCCAAGCAGGGGGATGACCCCTAACAGTCACAAGGAAAAACTGGAAGGTACATATACAAGCAGTGGATATCCTAATGCAATATGTGTAATTCCTCTACTTGCAATGACAACTAATTTATAAAAATGCTTATACCACTCCTCATTCTCACTAGCTTTGCTTTCCATTTCTTTGAGGCCCATTAAATATCACTGAAACACCTTTAGGCAAAGTAAGACGCTGACTCCGCTAATGGCTTTGCTGCCAGCACTCTGTATGTCTGGCAACACTGTTCTGTAATCTATTTCTGGCTCAACAGCACAAGTTTCCTCTTTCTTTCTGTCCTCAAGGGAGCCTAGTATGTTAAGATGCTGAAATATGCTGCCATATGCCCTGGTATTTTTAGCATGAACAACAGAGAAAGAGAGAGAGAGAGCGCTGCATTCTTCTGACCCCTATTTTGCTGAATCACCTCACCTGGAATTTCCACTACTTGCTCAGTAACGCCAGGTAATCTTAAATTGTAAGTACAAAATGCTTCCATCAAAGTACAGAGGATGCCTTTAATGATAAAGCTAACGTTTTGTAAACGTGAAGTTTTGTATTACTGATCTTTTTATTTCTCGCCACTTTTCCATCATACCCTTCCAGAAGGAATGCACCGAAAGACAGATAACATAGAAAAGCAAAAGAAGAAAAGAGTATTGTAAGCCTTCTTGTGGTTGCCATTGCTATAACCCTCCTTTGTGTCCTGTGTAACAGGCAAATAGATGTATTTAGCAACTGCCATTAGCATCATTCCACACTATGCTGTTCCTAGAATATGACATCTACCTCTTAGTCTAAATACTAGCTATGAGATATTTGTATACATTTTAGATACTACTGAATATTTGGTGTGGTCTTGAAATGAGATCACTGTTGGGTTTTTTTTCTGTTAAAAATAGAAAAAAAAAATTGCCTGGGTTTAATTCTTGCGCAACTGCCATTAGCATCATTCCACACTATGCTGTTCCTAGAATATGACATCTACCTCTTAGTCTAAATACTAGCTATGAGATATTTGTATACATTTTAGATACTACTGAATATTTGGTGTGGTCTTGAAATGAGATCACTGTTGGGTTTTTTTTCTGTTAAAAATAGAAAAAAAAAATTGCCTGGGTTCATAATTCTTGCCCTGTTCTTTACTAATTTTGGGATAGTTTGAGCTTTCAACAGGGCATAAGGACACAGCCTCAGCTGGTATAAATCAGCTTCACTCTGTTGCCTTAAATGTGGGCCAATTTACACTGGCTGGGGATTCATCCCAAACAGCTTAAAAATAAACTGCTATAACACATCAATATTTAGTCAGCACTAGATAATGATGTGCAATCCAACTGCAACACAATTCTGTCCAGTAAGGCACGCAGGTTTGAAGAGAAACTTTTAAAAGCACATGCAAGCTTTTGAATTAAATATGCAATACCAATACTGTTGAGATATTCTGACTCTTACTTATTTAAACATATTATTGCCAGGGCTTGTTTACATTAAAAACACTCAATGCGTGGGGGACAGGGAAGGACTATTGCAAACAGTAAGAGAAAATTAAATGGATAGAGCAGCCTTTGATGTCAACAGAGCAGCGTAGGAACTTATCGAGAGTGGGACTTCCTACATGATTTTTCAGAGTGGACCTAGTACCTCTAAAGCAAATGGGAGTTACCTACTTGGCATTAACAGAAGCTAGCACAGTTCCTTCTTGCTATCGATGAATCTAACCCAGCACTTTCCACTTGTTTTAACTCAGGAGGAAACAAGGGTACAAACATGGTTTAACAGCACACTTCTGTATCACTCCACATCCTCAGGATGCTCCAAGCTTTGTGCGCTTCCAGCAGCCCTTAAGGGAATTCTTCCAGCATCTAGGAATCATCTTGTTGCCAAGCCATGTTAATTTTCTTCAGCAATGTTTAATGTACTCACAACCAGACAGAAGATGGTGTGGAGCCAATATGATGACTCTACAGTACTAGGGGCTTCCAGAGCCTCTCAGTAGATGGCAAAAAAAAATTCTTCGTGGCTTCTGTGTTTACTATAGATCTGCCCTCCATGTTCTGTGTCTTAAGTCATTTATTCTCTGCTGGGCTAAAA